TGTGGGTGCTGGAACTGAATACTACAGAGCCTCTACAAGAGCAATAAGTGCTCTTAGCCATTGAGCCATCTCTCCATCCCCAATTATTAGCTGTTTGTGTTTGTTCGTTTGTTTGTTTGTTTGTTTGTTGAGACAGATTCTCACTATGTAACCTTGGCTAGTCTGGCACTCAACTATATAGACCAGGCTGACCTAGTACTCACAGAGAATCCACCTGTTTCTGCCTCTCTGGTGCCGAGATAAAAGGCATGTGTCACCATGCTTGGCTCTAGTTTTTATTATTATCCCCTTAATACTTTGAGAAATGAGAAAATGTCTAAGATTCTAAAGATTTCAAGAGATTTTTATGCCTCCTCAAACTCTCCCTTCCTTCAGGGAACTATCCCAGGGGAGAAAACAATTTTGTTTCTAAAATCTGAAAGTTTTGATTTCCCTAGGTAGGATCACTCCTTCTAGTCTCTGAATTGAGCTCACCTCTCTGGACTATGAGATAGAGTGGGTAGTGCCTGCTTTCCTGGGTGGAGCTGAGAACACAGTGTGAGATGTCCCGAGATAAAGCACTTGTGCACTAAAAGGACCTGTCTGTCCAAAAAGAAAAAAAGAAAAAAGAAAGAAAGAAAAAGCTCTTCATCTGTAACCCTTTCCAACCTCAGCTGTCCTACTGGGAAGTCTTTCTGTGCTGGCCAGACCTCAAACTTGTTGTGGAAAAAAACAGAGGCATTTATGGGGAAATGAAACCACCCTCCTAGGCAGAACGTTCCCCCACAAATTTGCTGTGGCATAAGGCTGCTACTTTGCAGGGAGCATCCAGCCTCAGGAGGCCCCTGAAGCTCCTGCCGCCACAGGGTGATCCAGAGGCTGGTAAACAGCTCATGGTATTCCCAACTTAGTGGCGAGCATTCATGCACAGAATTCTTTGTCCTCATGAGGAAAGACAGAAAGCTGGTGTGTGCTGCAAAGCCCTAGGCCAGAGCCCGACTTTCAAAATCCCCAACCAGAGATCATGCCAAGGACGAGCATGCCACCAGCCTCCAAAGCACGCTTGTGAAATAAACTTGCCCAAACTTGGACTTCTCTCTTGAAAACTTAGATTTACTTGTTAATTCCAAAGGAAAAACATGGCAAGATTACAGGGAAGAAGTCTGGCAAGCTCCTACTTAATTGGCACTAGTACACTTACATGCCTTCAGAAGGATGAATTAAAAGGCACTCAACATTACTTCTGTGAGTGTCCTACCCCTAAAGGCATCACCTGATGTGATCATGAGAAACATCATCAGACACACCAGACAAAAGGATATTGCTACAAAACAACTGGCTCAATACCCTTCATAAAAATCAATGCCAGGCCAGCAAAAGAGCAGCAGGTAAAAGCATTTGCCCCCAAGCCTAAGGATATGAGTTTGATCCCCAAGACCAAAGATCCCATGTTCCAAGGTTTGTCTTCTGACTTCCACACTTGAGCCATGTCTCCCCCCACACACACACACACTCACACACTCACACTCATACACCCATTAAAAAATTTTTTTAATGAAAAAATATTGCAGCTGCTAGGGATGATTGTATACACTTGTAATCATAGCTTTGGAAGGCTAAGGCAGAAGCATTGTGAGTTTGAGGCCAGCCTGAAGGGCCTCCAGACCAACCTGAGTTACATAGTAAGACCTGTTAGATTGAAGAAATAGTGGCTCACACATTTGAGAGGCTCAGGCAGGAGGATGTGGTCAATCACACACAGGGAGTTTCAGGGCAGCCTAGGCAACAAGTATAAGACTCTGTGTCAGACAGCATTAAAAACGAAACAAAATAATAGAGATTGAAATCATGGAAAAGAGAACTAAATTCCAAGGGGGACTCAGAAGCCTAGCCTAAAGCCTAGCTGGGACAAGGAAACTAAAGGGTTAATCAAGAAACTTATGAATGGATGACATGAGTAATAGATAAAAGTAAGACTTACTGAATTTAATCATTATATTAGAGTTGCATAAGAAAGTGTCCACACACAGTGAAGCACTTAGGGATTAAAGTGCTGTGACAACTGTAGTCAGCTCTCTACCAATTCAGAGAAAAAAAAATGGTTATTATAATATCTATATAGAATCCAGCAGTGGTGACGCACACCTTTAATCCCCAGCACTTGGGAGGCAGAGACAGGTGGATTTCTGAGTTCGAGGCCAGCCTGGTCTACAGAGTGAGTTCCAGGACAGCCAGGGCTACACAGAGAAACCCTGTCCTCTAAGGAGGAGGAGTAGGAAGAGGAAGAAGAGGAAAAGAAGGAGGGAGGGAGGAGGAGGAGGGAGGAGAACACGAGTGTAGTGTACATGTATATCACCATATTATTCTTGCAATTTCTCTGAAGGTTTTAATTTAAAGTGTGCATACTTTAAAAGGAGTGAGAGAAGACAGATGTGGTGTGCACACCTTTAATCTCAGCTCCCAGGAGGCAGAAGCAGGTGGTTCTTTGAGAGTTTGAGGTCAGCCTGGTCTATATAATGAGTTTCAGGCTAGTCAGGACTTCAAAGTAAGATCTGAGGGATGGGGTGGGGGTGGAGGTAAGGGAAAGAGAAATGATAAAAGAAAGGAAGGATGAAGGAAAGGACCTACACTTTTAGTTGCATGCTTAGCTGAGTCTCCCAGGTTGTATTTCTTAACTTCACAGCTCAGATGGTACCCTGAAGTCGGATGTGTGCATTAGCCATGTGTGAGTCCTGGTGGAGTCTGTCCATTTTGGTCTGGGAAGCCGGAGACTAAGCTACACTTCATCACTGCCGCATCTCAAAACATTCAGACAATGCCACACACGAAAAATAATTACTCAGTGTTACAATCACACCTTGCTTTTCACCCAAAATGGCCCATCCACATCACTCTCCAGCCTGCTTCCAAAGGAATTATGGACTGTTGGGTCTGGCAAGGACCTAAATGCCTCATCCACATTACTAGGAAGTAAATAGAGGCTCACAATGGACCCTAATGTGCCCAACATGGGAAATTAACTCCAGTGACTCCCAGGCCAGTACTGTGCAGTATCTTCCAATCCCTTTTGGGTTGTTGCAAAATTGAGAGAAAACTTTGTTTCCATAAGGAAATTATCTTCCCTCTGTGTGTGTCTGTGTGCATTTGTATGTGTGTATATATCTGTCTGTCTGTCTGGTTGGCTGGCTGGCTGTCTATCTGTAGGTCAGAAAACAAACTGCAGGAGTCAATTCTCTCCCTCTGTCATTTGGATTCTGGAGGTTAAACTCCAGCTCATCAGTCTTTTCAGCAATAACTTTCACCTACTGAGCCATTTCATGAGTCCAAATTATCCTTTTTTAATGAATACTTAACTCTGTATGCAATGACAACAGAGAAAGAACAAAAACACTGTTTCTGGAGATGTAGCACGTTGAGTAGTATCAGCCTCACACACCAGAGGTTCATACTGGGTTCAATCTCCAACACCACCTAAAGCAGAGAGGTAGCATACAGAATTGTAATCCCAGCTGGGTATGGTGGCGCATGCCTTTAATCCCAGCACTTGGGAGGCAGAGGAAGGCGGATTTCTGAGTTCGAGGCCGGCCTGGTCTACAGAGTGAGTTCCAGGACAGCCAGGGCTACACAGAGAAACCCTGTCTCGAAAAACCAAAAAAAAAAAAAAAAAAAAAAAAGAATTGTAATTCCAGCAGAGGAAGGAGAAAAATCTAACCCCTTCTGCCTCCTTCCATGCTGCTTCTCCTGCTGAGAAGGGCCCTGCAGGATGGAGACCTCCTGTTCTATAGTCACTGCCTCCAGCCTGAACCTGATGTAAAAATACCTGAAAGGTTCCTTGTGGTTTAATGGCCAGTTACTGCCCACGCATTCTACTCAGGACTCCCAACTGTCCCAGCCAATAAGTCATTACCTGAAGGTCTTGGGGGTCTCATCATCTCCACTAGACGTGTTATTTCCCCAACCCCACTCCCTCTTTCAGGGTTCAAAGCATTCCAGATTTCAGCATCCATTACATTGTTTGATCTGTAGAAGTCAGCAGAAGAGAATTTTGAAATCGCTGTGCCTTAGACAGCATCTAGCCATAGTGCTCAAAAAGTTTTTACTGAATGAGTGGATACTTCAGACTATACTAGCTATACCTCTCCTTCTTCAAGCTAAAAATAAATGAGTTGATGTACAATGGGACAGCTTGGACACTTCTGTCTAGAATATCTTCCCAATATCCCAGTGGTCATCTTACCAATAGTGTACATGGGTACTAGATGTGATGGCTTTCACTTGTAACCCCAACACTCAAGGAAGATTGTCTCAAATTCAAGATCAGCTCAGACTACACTGGGAGTTCCAGGACAGCCTTGAATACTTCATTACAATGCATCTCTCTCTCTCTCTCTCTCTCTCTCTCTCTTTCTTTTTTTTTTTTTTTGGTTTTTCGAGACAGGGTTTCTCTGTATAGTCCTGGCTGTCCTGGAATTCACTCTGTAGACCAGGTTGACCTAGAACTCAGAAATCCACCTGTCTCTGCCTCCCAAGTGCTGGGATTAAAGGTGTGAGCAACCACTGCCCAGCTACAATGCATCTCAAAATACAAAATATCTGTCTCAAAAATACAAAAAAAATAATCCTTCTGCTTCCACCCCCATGTGCTGGGATTGCAGTTGTAAACCACCACATTGGGTCTTATGAATGTCTGAATTTAACCCAGGCTCTCATGCATACCAGCCAAGCACTTTATGAACTGAATTACATCCTCAGCCCCACCCCCACTCCATTTTAAAGTCTTGCTCATGCTAAGGTGAATTATGACCACTGTCTACTCTCAATTGCTCAGCAATGATGCTGCCAGTCTCCCATCATAATCAAGAAGCAAAGACTTCCTTCTGATACCTGCACAGAGGTAATGCCTTAAAGTCACTAACAAAACTAGCAATAGCATCGGGTGGATCAAGTCTGAACCATGAGGGCTGCGTGCGCAGCCTCCCTTGGCTTCATCCCTTCTACACAGAATGCAAGAGCATGATACATCAGGGTTAATAAAGAGCTTTATTTGGCTTGTACAGCATCGATTTTCATACATTCTCAATTAATTTGCCATTAAAGTGCCAGACATTTCCTTAATCATGATGGCATTTGTTAAAAGAAATCGGAACTTTTCTCAGAACATTGCAGTCATGAATTAACACTTTTCTTACCAAACCCAGAATGTAAGCCCCTTATATTGATTGACCTGGTGGGTTGGACAATTTGCAAACAGATTCAAATCCCCTCTCACCTTGAGCACTAAACACATCTGGGGATTAAAAAGTCATGCTACAGAGATTGAGAAACAACCACCCACTGGCTGCCACTTCCTCAGGGCCATGCCAGGGCTTCACTGTTGGTACAGGTCCAACCTTCAGACCAATTAAGACCTTGCCCCCTCTGCCACCTTTTATCCCACCCTCCCTTACTCACAAAAGCCCCCAAAGTCAGTACAATGAAAAAAAAGAGTGGGTTTCCATTACCCAGGTACTAACGATGTTCAGTAAAAATAAGGAAGATAAACACAAAAGCTTGCTTAGTAAACACGAGCTCTCAGCATTCAATGCAAAAAAAAAAAAAAAAAGAAACCAAAAAAAAAAAAGAAAGAAAGAAATCTTAAGGCAAATACTGTTGACTTTGCACGTGGGCCAGATGAACTTAGAACTCTTTACGGAGCTGCAGAGTCCCAGGAGCCTACAGGCACTTGGTTTGTCAGCACTTGCCACTGGCAGAGGCAAGCTCTTTGCATTATTGCTGAGGCTATTGGGGTGTTTCTCTTTGGAGTTTATATACAAACACACCCAAGGCTGATGTTTTATACATATATATATGTACATGCATGAAGGCCCACTACTCTTTCTTTGTGGAAACTGATAGTTCTACCTCAGGAAGCTGGATGCCAACTTTAGTCCCACTGTCGTTGCTAGAGGAGGAAGACAGTCGGGATTTCTTCGAGGCCAAGGACACTCCACTACCCTGTAACTTGCCTGCCTCATCATCACTCCCAGTAACCTCATAATGACCTTTGCTCTTTGACCCCAAGCCACCAAAGGTACCAAATTTCAGCTTCCCATGTTTGCCTTTAACTTCTCCACCTGCAAACTCCAAAGTCCCAGTTGGGGTGGAAGGCGATGAGAACTCCCTCTCATCACTGAAGGAGTTGGAGCGATGTCTTGGCTTCTTACTTTTAAATAGAGAGAATTTGCCTTTGGGTGAAGATGCTTCAGCTTCCACTTCTCCCTCCAGAGAGCCCAAGCTGGCCTTTGAGCTCTTCAGGTCCCCTTTGGACCCGGAAATGGATGCTTCTGGTGAGCCAGTGACACCACCTTTCCCTTTAGGTTTAGAAAAGGTAAACTTGGGCATTTTGATTTTGGATTTTTTAAGTTTTACTTCAGGCTCTTCCCACTCACCTTCTCCAGCACCAGCCTGCACATTGGCCTCCACTTTAGGGAAGTTGACATCCACCCCTACTTCTCTACCAACGAGCTCACGGCCAGAGAAGGTAAATTTAGGGATCTTCATCTTGGGGAATGTTACTTTTCCAGATCCACTTTCCAAGTGACCTTGAGCCCCAGATACACTCAGCCCGGGACTCTGGAGTCCAATCTGGCCCCCTTTCACATCTCCTTCTATCTTTGGTCCTGAGAAATGAAGGTTCCCAGCAAGTTTAGATGTATCCAAGTTTAGAGAAGAGGAGACTTGGGGTCCCTTCCACTCAACTCCAGAGCCTTTGACACTCATATGCCCTTCACCCAGGTTGGTATCTGGGACACTGACACCCCCTGAAACATCTACATCTCCTTTGACTTTGGGGCCCTTCAAGCTGACACCAAAATCTGACTCAGGAGATGCCACATTAAAGGAAGGCCCCTTGACACTGATGTCAGGAACAGCTCCATGGAGACCTATCCCTGAACCTTTCATCTCTCCTTTAATTTCGAGACCAGAAATCTTCCCTGATGAGAGTTTCACATCACATCCAGAAGCCTTAATCCCAGGCATTTGGAGGCTTCCTTCTGGGCCTTGAATGCTGATGCCTGGAAGACCTCCCCCAAACGCTGGGCCTTTCAGTTCACCAGCAGCCCCGAGACTTCCCTTCACTTTTGGTCCTTCCAAGTTAAAGTCCATGTTTGGTGTTGAGATCTGAGGCCCTTTCAGGTTCACATCCATCCCTGACCCCTTTAGTTCTCCACAAACTTGTGGCCCCTTGATGTTAATGTCCAAGTCAGATCCCGGAGTAGAGATGCCAAACTGAGGCAGCTTCATGTGAGGAAACTTGACACTACTTTCTAAGGCCCCCAAGCTCACATCAGGAGTATCCACAGACACTTTAGGGCATTTGATGTCTCCAGACACTGCCAGGTCTCCCTGTAGACTTGGTCCCTTCAGTGTCACATCTGGTGCCACCACATTGAGTGCTGTTGCGGCATCAATCCCTGACACTTTCATACCATCTGCTCCTATCTGTACTTTTCCACCAACGCCTCTGAGGTCAAGACCTGGGGCATGCAGCTTCGTGCTGGGACTGGAGACACCCAGATCTCCCTTCAAACTTGGTCCTTTCAAGTTCAGGTCAATTTCAGGCCCAGATACTTTTGGCATAGAGAGGTCCACCGAAGGCAAGTCCACTCCTGGGCCTTTTAGAGATATATCAGGCCCTTCAAGCTTAACATCCGACGTGTTCAAACCTCCTTCAAGAGAGGGCATCTGGGCATGGATCTCAGTGCTCCCACCTTCCATCTTCACACCAGGGGCACTGATCTTGGGCAATGAAAATTTAGGGAACTTGATTTTTGCTTCTGGACCTTGTAGATCTACATCGGTTCCTTCCAATCCCACACTGGGAACATCACCCTTTATCTTTGGTCCTTTCAACTTAACATTCACATCAGGTATGGAGACTTGAGAGGCAGAAACACTAAAAGAGGGTGCTTTGATTTTACCTTCCGGGCCTTCGATGTTTATGTCAGGTGTGTCCAAGTTTGCCTGCACCTTGGGACCTTTCAAGTTGCCCTCTATCTTTGGCCCTGAGGCTTCCATGCCTGGCACCTTGAACTTGGGAGCCTTCACATGAATATCAGGAGCTTCCACATTAATCCCTGGTGAAGAAATATTCACATCTGGTACCTTGATTTCACCCTCCAGCTTGGGGCTAGGTAGGGGAGCCTCTGCTTTAAATTTAGGTGATTTAATGTCAAATTCTACATCCGGAAAGTACATTTTTCCAAACATAGTTTTCTTGACTTTGGGAGATTTTACTTCAGCTTTAAGTGCAGCATCAGGCCCTGCAACACTGACGTCCATATCTGGAGCTTTGAGATTGGCATCAATCTCACCTCCAGGAATATTCAAATCAAATCCCTGTTTTTTGGCCTTAACTTTAGGACCACTCATGTGAATTTTAGGCATTTTAAACTTGCTTTTCTTGCCCTTGCCACCAACGATTATTTCAGGAGTCTCAACACTCAGCTCTGCTTCAGGGACAGTCACATCAACTGCGGGTGTCTTGATGTCAGCTTTGGGGCTTTTTGCACCAAATCCAAATTTGGGTTTCTTAAACTTTGGGACTTTAACATCTGGCCCCTCAATGTTAATATCTGGACTGTCCATGTGGACATCTAAGCTTGGAGTTTCTAAATCAACTTTAGGCCCCTTGAGGTCTACTTCACCACTTCCTAACTTAGGCCCAGAAATTCCAACTTTCGGTGTCTTGAGGTGCACATTAGCATCAGGCCCAGATATTTTAGGAACAGATACCTCCAGCGATGGCATCTTCAAGTTAGGACCACTAACTTTAGCATCAGGACCTTCAAAATCCAGACCTGGACCTTTCAGGTCTATTTCAGGTCCTTTGAGGGTACTTTCAATCTTAGGAACAGATCCATCAAAGGCTGCTTTTACTTTGGGTCCTTTTAACTCCAGATCAACATCAGGCATGGAGATCTTGGGAGCCTTGATGTTAATCTCAGGCATCTTGAACTTAGGGCCTTTCACTTTCATATCTGGACCTTCTACATTCACATCTGGAATATCAATGTCTACCTTGGGTCCTGAGACATCAAGGTCAGCCTTGGGAAGGTTCACATC